TCTGTGTTGCTTTACTTTTTTCACTTTAGGTGCTTGAATTGAGGTCCTTTCCCTGAACTTGAAAAGACAGTAAGGCCACCGCAATTATATTTGTTATTTCTCACACTGCACCTAAAGCAGGCAGGCAGTAGTTGTAGTTATTAGTTAAAGTTATTAATAATTATGTAATAAAGTTTGATGCTGGAACACTAGCTGTGGTTAGTGGATAACGTAACGAATCATTAGCTGTACTAACAGTGCTATAATGAATTCAGATGGGCTCAAAACCTGAGGAACAGCACCAATTCCATATTGTGGCAAGGTTCCATATATGACTATGCATTTGGCCTCAAACTATGAATAATTAATTAGTAATTTAAAGATTTAGTTTAAATTTTTCTAATAATAATCAATCATGTGAGCTACTAACTCCAGCCTAAAAATTTGCTCGTTAGCTAAAACACGTGTGAAGTCGTCTCTGCCTTTCAACTTGTGTTTGCTCTAGTTTAAGGTGATAGTGTCTCACCAATTTGTGGCTGAAGGTGGTTCAATACCTTATACAGTGGCAGAGACGACTGGTTGTCACTTCTAATGGCAACTTCTTCGGAAGACGTTCTTCGTGGTCTAGATGTCTACAGTACCTCCGAAGGGGTGGCTCCAACTTCAGTTCACAGCGGGGATTCTTTTGAACCGCTATCTCTGTCCCCATCTCGTGGGTTAATTAAGCCTCTCAATTCTGGTGGGCAAGTTTTTTCAGAGGCTTTAAAGGTCTAAGCCAGCTGTTGCCTATAGGGCATTTCAGTCTGTGCTAAGATAGCTATACCTACATCCAGCTATACGCTTGGGTATGTAGTGTATTTAGCTTATAGCTATGATAGCTATACCTATACATCCAGCTTTAGGCTTGAGTATGTAGAGTATCTAGCCTGGCTATGATACCAGCTCCTCAGTACTGGTTTGAGTCTGGACTGATTGTCCAGGCAGTACATGCATGACTAGCTAAAGGCTGAAGTCAATAACACATTACTACCGCTATTATTATTATTATCTTAATAAATGTGACCCGATATGAGAAAACCAGGCTATATGCTCCAAAATTGAAAATTGAGATTTATGGTTTTCTTAATTAAGCAAAGTTTTTCCTATCTTTTGGTCCTTCCATGTCATTTGACACATCTAGTGCTGAGTTATGCTTATTTATGCAACAAGAAGTCTAAACGAATGAAATTGAGTTGCAGCCATTTTTATCATTATATCTTGCATTATTTACATGGTACACAACAAAAAGAAAGGTCTGTAAATGACCTCTTTCAAGTTATTTTAGGGCAAACTTGGTATCAAATGAAAGGAAATTCTTTATACAATATATTTTTGGTATAATCTCAGTTTTGATAAGGTACCGCTGTCACAACTTTAAGAAGCCATATCTCCAATTGATAATTCCCGCAGATAGCCTGGTTTTCTCATAATGGGTCACAAATGGTTATCTATTTTGCAACTCCCTTTTTTATTTCTTTTAGTGAGTTCATTAAGGAGTCAAGATTTCCTAGAGCTAGAGCAGTCTAGGTCTCGTAAAAGTAGGTCCTTGAGAGGACGATGATAAAGACTTCGACTTAGAGTCATGGTCATCCTCTAGTGCATCTGCTGATGTTCCTGATAGTGTCATGCATTTTTTACGACCTGGGGGCGTAGCCCCCAGGTCATCCTATAATCGATTTCACCCAGGTGCGATATATATATATTTGATTGTATGTCAACACTTCATTTCTTCTATACACGTTGTATTGGAGAAATAACAAGCCTTAGCAACCACCCGCCCATGCTATGTAAGTGGGTGTGGTCACGGCAAACAAAATGGCGCTTTGCACATGGAACAAAGTTATGAGCTTTCAAACAGCGAAAGAACATAGAGATACTGTCTAAAGACTTTTCTAGAAGCAGTAAGAGGTAGAGAGAACCTTCATAAGTCTTAATAAGAACCCAGATGTACATGCAAGGTGGTGAAATCAATTATAGGAATATTTTTACACTGTTACACTTGTTAAAGATAGCATTGAGTAAATGTCTTTCTCACCATAAGAAGATGCTAATTAATGCATGTCCAAGACCCAATGTCCCCCTCTTACGTTCTCCAGTGGCTGACAAGGATATTACTAATATTCTGGGTTGTGATTTTTCTACTGACCAGGGCAAGCAGCTTGTTAAGATCCAATCTTCCAGTCTTTCTGTTCTGGGACCAGCCATTGGTATGCTGATAGACCTAGCTAAACAGGACTTTTCGGGGCATACGAACGAGTTGATACCAGTGAGGGATGTAATGGAGGTCCTAAAGGAGACTCTCGTGCTGGTTTGTAACGCTTATCAGTGAGACTTGGCACCTGGGTATTGTTAACAAGATTAAACCTAAGCGTCCAAGATTAGCATCCTTTTTGCAAGAAATTTGCTCGGAAAATATAAGGGAGCCATCTGGAGAGTTGTTTGGCCCCACAGCTAAGAAGAGAATAACTGAGCGAGCTCAGACAATCAAAGATTTCAATGAATTTCTTCGTAGTTTAGACTCTGCCTCAAAAAGGAAATCTTCATTCAAGAGTCATTTTTTGGGAGAGGCTTGTGGGCAAAGTACGGCAAACCCTCGAGTCTTCCTCAGAGACAGCCGTACACAAAACCCAAGAAGGTATTTCGTCACTACCAAAAACAGACCACCCCTCAACCCAGTCATTTTCACCAATCCAGGAGATCCAACTGAGGCCTACCCTCAGAGTAGGAGCTCACCTACAACTTTTCACACAAGCTTGGGAGTCTCTCACCAACAATCATTGGACTATTCAGACTATTAAGTGTTATCAATTAAAATTTTTGGAAACTCCTCCAGACACGCCCCTTCAATCTCCTCAGCTATCGATTCCAGAGTATTTGGAGGAAGTACAGTATCTTCTTCAGAAAGGAGCAGTGAAATTTTCAAGCCGGAACAGAAATTACCAGTTCTGCTCTCTACCTTTCAGGTTAGTGACAGCCCCTCGTGTGTTCACGAAAGTCATATACTAGCATCAATGAGGGAGAAGGGCATTCATCTGGTTGGATAAATAGATGATATTTTGATCATGGGGACCTCTCCCAAGGAGGTTTAAGACCATCTTCAGCAGTTAGTCTCTCTTTTGACCAGTCTTGGCTTTCTAATCAATTGGGAGAAGAGTGTATTAGTCCCCAACCAGACAATGGAATTCCTAGGGTTTTTAGTGAATTCCAGAAATCTGTCTCTGTCCATTCCCAGCTGAAACTAGAATCGATCAAGAAGGAATGCCGTCATTTCCTCAACAGGGTAATAGTCTCAGGAAGGGACCTGTCTCATCTGATAGGATTACTGACATCAGTCAATGTAGCAGTGGAATCAAGTCCACTTCAGTGTTGTGCCCTACAGAGACGGAAGCACAAAATACTTCATTCCAGGGGTCTTCTCGACAACACATCACCCTTAGGCAGGATCTACTGTTCTAGATTAAGGACTTACAATCGCTCAATGGGAGGAACCTAAATTTCCCAGTTGCCCAAGTATCAATTTCAACAGATGCGTCCAGGTCAGGGTGGGGAGCTCAGATGGGTCTAACCCACATAGGAGGACCTTGGACTTCCTCAGAACGAGATCAACTACTTAGAATTGCTGGCAGCATTCCTATCCCTCATGCCCTTGGTGTCAAATTACAGCAACCAACATATTCTTTTGTTAATGGACAGCAAGTCTGCGATCTCCTTCATCAACAAGAAAGGAGGTACACACTTGAAGAGTCTATCAGACCTTGCCCTCCTAATGTGGGAGTGGTGTCTAAGGAGAAGTCTCAGAATTCATGCAGAACATATTCCAGGCATCCACAATCACATAGCAGATGCGGAATCCAGGAAACCAATTGAGGGTTCCAATTAGAGGTGCGCAATACTATCGAAATATTATCAATATACTCGATACCTGTACAGTATTGATTATTATTGTTATCGAGCAAATAGAGTTACCATATATCAATACTGAAAGCACACCCACAACACACCTACATGTGTTTAATATAATTATTAATTAAATTGGAGTTTTAGCTGGCCACCTGCTCTAGTGCTCTTAGTCTCTTACTGCTCTACTACTACTTCTTGAGTCTTTGGAATCTTGCTTAGTCTTGGTCTTTTGGATCACTATGGCTACAGCTAACGCAACTAGAAAGAGGAGCTTAGCTTGGGACTACTTTTATAAAGAGGAAGAGTCTACTTTCTGTGAAATCTGCAAAGAAGAAGTAAAGACATCAGGAAATACCAGCAATCTATTTAGGGTGAAACACCATGGCACGATCTATGTAATCCATACTTTATTATTTTTGCCTCCAGCACCTGCAATCAAATCACAAAGATGAGTACACTGAGTTGGAAAAGCATCGATTGGAACAAGCAAGTCAAAAAAAGATGAAAGTAGCGGTAAAACAGCCAAGTTTGAAAGAAAGTTTCGCTACTGCTCAACCCTATTGAAGTATGTCTTGTGTTCTCAAGGAAAAATTGTTGTAATCAATTAATTTTTTAGAAGAGTCTCAACGCAAAAAGAAACTTGATGATCTAGTGAAGATGATTGCTACTGATTTGCAGCCCATATCAATAGTAAATGATCAGGGTTTTCAAGACTTCTTGAAAGCAATCGATTCAAAGTATGTCCCACCCAGCAGGCGGACAATTACAAGAGACCTTATTCCTAAAATTCATTCCACATGCAAATTAGAATTGGCAGAGTCTTTATCTAAAGCAGCATTTTGTACATTTACAACTGACCAGTGGACATCAAGAGCCACACAAGGCTTTTTGACTTTCACAATCCACTACATAGAAGAGGTTGAAGGTGTATGCTGCTCAAAGTCTTCTGTCTTGGAGACAGCATGTTTAAAAACTGATCACACAGGGGAAAATATTGCAACAGAATTGCAGCGAATAGCTACAGCATGGACTATACAAGATAAAATTGTGTGTGCTGTGACTCATAGCGCAAGCAACATGAACTTAGCACTCAGAATAACAAAATGGTCCCATCTACCTTGCTTTGCTGACACACTCAACTTGATAGTGCAAGGAGCAATTGCAGCTGATTATCAAGTATCAAGCCTTCAAACAAAATGCAAACACATTGTATCATATTTTCACAGAAGTGTGAAAGCAAGTGATTGATTAGCTACTGTTCAAAAACAGCTTAACTTATTAATACATAAGCGATTTAAGAGGTGGAGACTCGTTGGAACTCCACCTTTTACATGTTCCAACGATACAGCGATTTGTAACGAATTTGCCACTAGTCACGTGATGGATATTCTTTGTCACGTGATAAGATTGCAGGTGCCAGGTGGTAACAGTGTGACTGATTAGTGTCAACTGGTGGTAATGGCCAACAATCCTTACTTTCAACTTCTACAAGCGTTGGCTGCAGCACGCCAAGCGGTGCCAGTTAGTACTACGGTGACAGGAAATGTAACTAACAGTGTCATTTCGCCTTCTACAGTAGAGAACCAAGGTGGCATACAATCGCAAACACAACCCCAAGTGACGCCCGTATCATTGTTACCTACTGTAACTCAGGCTGGACCTTCTACCGTGACAGAGGCCACTCAGGAGGTGTCGGAAAAGGTATGAATCCAGTCTTAACATTTGCATTATGTCATTGACATATTTATTTTAGGGTAGCTCTCAAAAATATACCTACAAGGTCAAGATTTTATATCCTAAAAGGAAAAGAGAGGCGGTGACAGCTTTTGTGCACAATTTTCACTCTCAATTTTTGTCTGTAACTTCTGTAAAGGCTCATCTGCTAGATGAATTCAGTGACATGCTTCCAAAAGATCTCTCTTTTTCTGTGGGATTTTATGAAGGGTCATGTAAGAGGCTACTGGTAAAGAATGATGATTTGAAATTGATGTACCAGCTGGATAGGAAAGATATTTGTTTATGGTGTGATGGAATAGTGGAAGATGATAGTGCTCACACTTCAGTAAGTGGACCATCTAAGAAAGCGAAGGAGGCAGTTACAAGGCGAGAACAGCAAGAATTGAACATTGATGATACTTTTATGCAGCTAAAAGCAAAGCATGGAAGTGCCTTTACTGCCCCTCTCTTAAGGCTATGGGCGAGAGTTGTTGTAAATGGACATCATGATTCATTAGATGATCCTCCAAGTCTTCCTCAGTTTAAGTCTAAAGGAATAAATAATTATGTTGACAAAACTTTGTCACCTAGTAAAGTTGCTGATATGAGAGGCAAGTACATAGAGCAACTTCAGCAGATAAAATCATTGAGTAATGATGGTATTCTAGATCAACAAGAATATGAAGAGCAAAAAGGCATTATTTTAGGAGCATTAAGGAAGTTGAAGTAACTATAATTGTAACTTTGACTAGTGAATTCATAATAATTATTATAATCAAAACTCATTTATACATTTATTGTACATGCATCATGCAATTTTCAATTGAATGAATGCAGTCATTTAAGGTGACAGTTGAAAGTGCACTGAGAATGAGTGTATCAATATCTAAGTCAGGGTAACATGTTTCTTGTTCTTTTAGTGCAGTTTTGAATTTAGAGAACACATTCTCAATAGGGTTCAAATCTGGTGAATATGGTGGTAAGAAATGAACTAGTGCTCCACATTCTTGTATTGCATGTATTGTTTCTTGAGAATGGTGAATTATGCAGTTATCTAAAATCACTACTGAATGGCTACTATCAAAAGGATGGAGGTAAGGCAATAAATTTTTGTTGATAAAGTCATAGAATGTTAGTCATAGAATGTATCTGAGTCTACACCACCTCTGCATATTTTAACATCTAAAAGTCCCTTAGTTGATATTGCAGCAATAACTGAGATGTGCTCACCTCGAAGTAGGAGCTTATGCTTGACAGCAGGCTTTCCTCGAATGCAATAACCTTTCTTTCTTATGAGATCTCTACGGTCACATCCAGTTTCATCGACAAATATAAGCATATCATTGTGGTACAGGGAAATATCAATGGCATATGTTGCTCTCAGGCTTTCATTTTGTTGACTTGCTACTATTCTAAGCCTCTGGTGAGAAAATCCTGACTTATGTAAGAACCTACAGATTGTTGAGCAATCAATGGTGACATAAAACTCTTCTTGAATCTTCAGCTGAATCTCATGAAGGTAAATACCAGGATTAGTGAGTACAAGATCCAGAATAAAAAACTGGAGAACTTGTGTTAACTTCTTATTTAATATCTCAGTTGGGTATGGTTTTTTGGTGACTGCCCCAGTTTCTCTGAACCGCTTCACAACTCTGATCACAGTTGAGATATCGACACATAAATTGGATGCAATACTGGAATATGGCACGGAAAGACCTTCCTTTTGATAGACCATCTTCCATCTCAAGTCATTTGAATACGCTGCTGTCCTTGCTGGTTCGCTAGAAGTTGCCATAATGATTCAAAATCGCTCTGCTGGTGTGACGTTCAAGTTGTCACGTGACCAAAGGTATGGCAAATTTTCTGCAAAGCGCTGTATTTGGAACAGCACAATGCTATTACTACTACACTTTGTTTGCTTGATAAGAAAGACCTTTGCCTAGACAACATTGAGCTCATAAAAGATGCAGTGGGTCTTTTGGCTTCATTTGAATCAGTCATAACAGAAGTATCAAGTGAAGCATATGTTTCATTATCCAAAGAAATACAACTGGTTTGTTCGTTACAAAAGCTGACTATATCTTTCACATCTAAAAGCTTGCTGCATGAAAAATTAATTGCTAACATTTCTCACCGGTTTGGAACAGTTGAAAACAATCATTTGTTTGCTGCATCAACATTTTTAGACCCAAGGTTTAAAAAATAGCTTTCACTCAAACATCTGCAACTAATGAATATGAGAAGCACCTTTTGAATGAGATGAGCACCATACCATTAGATGATCCCACTGACCTACAAACTGCAGACACTAGTGAAGTAGAGCAACACCATGAAACCTCAGAAGGAGCATGTCACGTTTGGAGCTTTTTTGATGAGAAGGCCAGTCAGTGCCAAAGGACAGGAACAACTCAAAGTGACAGTATAGTAGAGACGAGGCTATATTTGCAGAATTATCTAGACAGAAAGGAAGATCCTTTGCAATGGTGGTCTGCAAACAGAAACACATATAAAAGACTATCTTTTAGCAACCAAATATTTATGCATCCCTGCCACTTCTGTGCCGTCAGAGAGA